TATTTATGAGTATGGGATAATGTTTATGTTTGATAATTATAATCAAAATCAGGATTATAATTATTATTAATTTTCGAACATATATATATATATATATATATATATATATATATATATATATATATAAATATTCATATATTCTAATAATAAAAATTACATTTTTTTTATCATCTTTACTTTTACTTTTGTAATCTAATATTTAAGATCTATTATTGTTTTATATTATTAAATTAAAAAATTGAAATATAAATCATAAATTTTATTTTTAAAATATATGAATCACTTCCTTCGTATAATCACTTATTCAAACTTTTAGTAAAAGGGACTTATGGTTTTGTTTCAAGAAAAAGTAATTGGGTTATACACTTAAAAAATTTCTAATAAAATACCTATTAATAGGCTAGTTAAAATATTAAAAAATATTTGATTAATTTATTAAATTAAGTTTTGATTAACTCCTAATCTTCTTATTATTATGAAATTATTTTAATTTTTACCGGCTCTTAATCTAATTTACTTTATATTTATATTATCTAATTTATAGTGTGGTGGTCAAATTTATCTCAACTTGATAATTTAATTCAATTTTTTGATCATATTTGATTTAATTACTCAAAATAGATTTTACTCATCTAAATTCACGTGACTCGTTTTAGTATGACACGATTCATCTTATTTTGACTCATTTTAATCCAACACATTTTATTTTAGTTTGACTCAACCTATTTAATTTTGGTTTGTCTTATACCTATATAACTCAATTTGACCTATCTGGACCTATTTTGACTTGACATGGTCCAATTTGTTCTAATATAATGCAACATGACCAAATTCATCAAACCAGTTTGAATCAAATCTAACCTTATCAGTTTGGTTTGTTCGATCTCATTTTATTCTATCTAATTTACCATGATTCATCTCAATTTAATTTTATCCATGTGAATAATAATAATAAAATACCGTGAGTTAGACTTAATTCAAAATATAATAATGATAATTTTGATATTTGATAATATATTATCCAATTAGTGAGATATATGTGTATATCTCACTTAATCACAAAATCTAACCCATAATTAAAAGTTATTACCGCAAAATTTATACTGCAAAAATCAAACCTTTTAATTTATACAACGTTAGATTATCAAGTTACAAGCCCATTAGGACTAAAATAAACCTAAATTAATTCAATAAAATAAACTTTCAAAATTAAGTTTTAATTTGCAGATTTTAACTCACTAAGTTCTAGTTAAGATTAATGAAATTTTTTTCTAGAACAGGTAGTAATTAAAATGTTTTATCTAAACATAAAAAATAAATTTTAATAAATTTAAATTACCTAATCCAAATAAATTAATTTAAATAAAAAAATATAATTTAATATATTTAAACTTTTTAAAAATTATAAAATACTTTATCTAAATACAATATCAACCATCAAATTAATTCATTCCTGTTACCGTCTCATTTGTTGAATTATTTTCTTAATTTAAATATTTTTATAAAATGCATTTTATTTCTCTTATTTTTAATTCTTTATATCTTATATATTTTGATATATTTAACCATTTTATTTATTCTACTTCTCATTTATTTATAACCATGCAAATTTCTGGATAATAAAAAATATATGGGACATAATTGAAACTTCCAATAATGTAAAATCAGAAATCACAAATAAGGTTGAATTGCAATAGGGAGTAAAAAAACATAATTTTGGTGTCTTACTTACTTGTCTCAATATAATGCTCCATTGATTTTCCTTGTTGAATTTTCAGCTTGCTCACTTCACTGGCCATGGACCTACTCATATTTGGATTATATATTTTTTAGTGAATGCATCTTCGGATAAGATTAATTTTTAAAAATTATAATTTTAAAACTATTGATCTTATTTTGCAAATATATTTAACAATTAAACTTATAATTTTAGTACAATTATTCTTTTTGATAATAAAATTTTATGGTTTATATTAGAAGTTAATAGTTTATTTTTAGTTATTTAGTTATTTTATCCTTCCTAACTAATAACTTACACACAACCGTACTATAACATTTTTTTCTCGTTCTTAGATTATATAAAAACGATTGTTTTCAACAATTGTATGTTCAAAAGTACTTTTCTTATCTACAACAATAAAAAAAAGATATAATTGGACGTATTTATACTCAATTATTGAATAATCTATTTTAAGTGTACCCGCGTATTCTGTTTTATGGGTTTCTAATAACTAAAACATTATAATAAAAAATTGTTTAAATTAATTATAGTTCATATTATCATTTTTAATAATAATAATAATAATAATAATAATAATAATATTATTATTATTATTATTATTATTATTATTATTATTAACTTTAAGACAATAATTTTGACTTTAATTGTGTGGTGAAGGTGTCAATTATTCCGTGACATAAATTATGAGTGAAGTTATAATTGATATATCAATGTAACTTTTATTTAATTTTAACAATTGACATCTTAACAAAGATCAGGAGTTTAATTCTTAAGAAACAATGTATTTCGTCAAACACATGTCTCCTAATGAAGGCATGATGATATATTTACATAAAAAAATGATGAAACCTAAATGATATTAAAACAAGATAAAAATGACATGAGAAAAGGACAAATATGGTAACAACTAGAAAGTGGTAATTTGAAAAAAAAGAATGATTGAGTAATTTACTTAGATGCTGATAAAGAAGTTGGAATGAGAGGGATATGCATGGAAAGGTGCATAAGCAGAAGCATATAACAACAAATTGGTGGTTAATTAAATGAGGAAACTTAGAAGAGAGGAATGGATACAAATGTGAAAGTGAGATTTTAACGTATCATTTTTGTGGGTCCTCTTTTTCTCTCAATCTAAGTTTACCCCTCAGATCGACCCTCGCATTAAGGAACTTACCACAATAAAAAGTATTCTTATTAGATATCACATCTATCATCTTTTTAGTTTTTATATAATAAAATATCCACCGTTTAAACATTAAATTATAACTAATAAAAATATATCTCAGTCTTAATTATTTGTTCTAATGGAAGATAGAGCGTATGAAACACTGGGAAGGCAATAATAGTTTTCATAGCTTCCACTTCTTAAGAAAAAAAAAAAGATTACTGTTAAAATCTGCTAATAATATGCATCTAAAATTCAACTCTTTCTATATTTTCCATTATCTCAAAATAAACTTATTGTAAATTTATGATATTCTATCACTTTATTTCGTCTATTTTAAAAATATTAAATTAATTTTTTATTAATTTTAAATGTGCTGTACAAATTTTCACTATCATCCAATAATAAATCATTGTTTGAATTTTTTTTTAAATATTTATTGTAAAAAACGATAAACACTAATATCGCATCTTAATAATGATTTTGGAGTGAAAAAAAATATAATACATAAATGAATAAAAAATATAAAATAAAAAATATAAAAAAAGAAAAATATAAATATAAATCTTTTTAAGACCAAAATTATATATATATATATATATATATATATATATATATATATATATATATGATATATATATATATATATATAGAAATAGTTTAAAAAATTTGAGACCATAACACTCTAAATAAGGGGGAAGGGCCAGTGTAGACTTATTTTACATCAGTGCTCAACCCTTTTGAGATACTCTGCTGTGCTATTGTCTATGCAAAATTTTCATAAATTGTCTATGCAAATCACAGGATGGTTTTGTGACAGTTCAGAATCCTGAGCAATCTGATGACAGTGATCACAACTTTCAAAATTTCTCTTTGTATATAATTCCTATTGGTCATAAAGTGGTAATTTAGATATTTACACACTGATTATTTAGATTTGAAACTTTCATTTTAAAACTAATATTTGTGTAAATGATATTATATTTATAATGAAAATGTTTGTTTTATAGTATATATTTGATTAAGTTTTGTGTTTCTCTTATTATACCATTTAAGCATACATAATGTCAAAATTAGATTAAATTATCATTTTGATTTTTTATATTTTGGACATGAAATTTTTAAAAATATTATTTGATCTTTTATGTTTTTAAAAAGCTCCAGTTAAATCATTTCGTCTATTTAAGCTTAACATATCGATATTTAAAATTTTAAAATAATTAATTTATCATAATATCAACTTAAAATTGTCACTAGGTGTAAGAAGTATATCACTGAGATGATCTAGAGAGACAAACTCGAAAGATTTTGAATGATGAAAATTATGAGAAAAAATTAAGTATTTTAAGTGACCATGTGATGACTAACTTTTATATATAGAAGTATAAGTATAATGGAAATTTAAATTTTTTTTTTTAGCAAAGATAAGAGTTCTCACTATACGCTCCCTTTCTACTTAACATATTCTTCAGTGCCAATATTGCAAATTAGTGTCAGTGGATGAACTAAGGACATGAAACTTTTGCCTTGTCAGTTTACCGGCCTGCACTTCCACCATGCTTCTGGACCAAATAGAGCTTCTTTCTTATAATAATCTGGATGGAGTCAATGCCTGTGTCACCAATTTCCTTCCTATGCTCCAACATCATACAAAGATGTTACAAAGAGACTAAAACTATATAAAGTTGTGGAACATAAACTTTGTGGTAATCTATGCATTGAGTCCTACATATCATAAGGAGTTGCATGTGTGCTACCATTTTTTCTACTTGGGGGGACAAAAATTATACTAGTTATAAGATAGTGAATGGAAAAACAATGTTTATATATATAAACTTAAAATTAATTGACTATAATCAAATAATCCAATAAACATATAAGACGTAATTCAATAGTTTTAAATTATGGGTAAAAGTTAATTCAGGTATGACCAATTTACCAATATCTAAGAATATGTTTTTTTTTTCTTCATCCGTATTACGTGAAAACGTGGGCTTGTGACATTGTGTATATAACTATGCCAGAAATCGATTGTATAATAACGAAATTTAGAGCGAATACGAAACATTTAGATTCTTCCTCTTGGAAAGAAGAATGGAAGCATTTATAATCGAAGACATACAGCCACGAAGAAATTGCACAAATATCCCAAAGGCATGGGAAATGAATAATAAAAAGAATATGGAATGGGGCTTTAAAAACAGGCCCAATTCGTGCCTAATTGGAGCTAGTTCTATTCAGCTCCACTCGTATGGACCAAAGCAAAAAAGGTTGAACTAGTATTATAATGCAATTGTTTCCCTGAGAGAAGACAGATCTTCAAAGCAGCTAGATGCCCTTGATTCTCTTCCACCTCATTTTTTTTAAGCTAATTGGAATACAATCCGTTTACATCAAGATGCGTAACACAGCAAGACCAACGGCAGAGATCGAAACAAGTGTTCCTATGCAGTATTTTATAACATCATATTTGGCTGCTTCCAGTTGTGCTCTTAAAGAATGGATCTCCTGAATATCAATTTATGGCAAAGGGTTTCAGATTGCAAATTGGCATGGGATGAAAATAACAGCTTCTAAATGTCACATAATTGCTTACTCTATCAAGTTTGTTTGTCAGGTTGTTAGTTTCAGCACTCTGATCAGCCAATTCCTCCCTTATTCTCCTGCATTTTCAGTGACTCGTCAGCAGTAACAGATGAAAATAGGAATTTCAGTCTAACAAAGGTTCTGTAAAATCTTTGACAATCACCATGTTTATTCTTAACTCTTACCCCCTTTCAAGGTTCAAATCTAATCGCTGTCCAGCAGTGACTTTATCTATCTCATACCTGTATTGCAAAACATGTGATTGCACCATAAAATCGTAACGAAACAAAAAGGATACAACTATAGTTTGATCATGGCCAATTGTTAAAATTGATAAAACATACCTTAACTCACTACGCATCTTCTCTATATCATTCCTGTATTGCAAAACATGTGATTGCACCATAAAATCGTAACGAAACAAAAAGGATACAACTATAGTTTGATCATGGCCAATTGTTAAAATTGATAAAACATACCTTAACTCACTACGCATCTTCTCTATATCATTCCTAAGCTTCTCAGTCTCATGTTGTAAGAGAGAAAAATGATGTCCCTGAATTACACGTTTTTCAGCATATTACAGCATTAGTCAAACATAACCAATCTCATCAGCATCAACATAACATACAATTTGAGGTAAATAAAATCACACGGATAAAGAAAATGTGAAATTGAGACCCAGAAAAAAACAGTTCCTAAGGTAAAATGAATGCCCTCCCAGCATAAATGTCTCAACATAATGCAACAGAAACAATCATAAATGCTGTATATGCAATTTTTAAGCACATGAATTATAATCCAACATTCGAATTACTCTCCTAAAAAAATGTTTAAATGGACATGCAAAAGACATTCTCCACACATCTATTAAGTATTATCAATTATCAAGAATTTACTGTGCATAAGTTGGACCTTTCCATTTGGAAAAAACTGACATTTCCATTTGAAAACAATGTTTTCATTGTTTCCTATCCTATATATACAAATATTTGGAAACAAGAAAGAAAAGTCAAATATGCTATTAGTCTTTTTGTAATTAAAAGTGAAAAAAAATGAAAAATAGAATATTTTCTCAATCAAACAGTTTCTAAATTAATCTTATGTTTTCCTATTATTAAATGAGATAAACCTTGAGAGGATGACAACCACTTCCCGGAAACATCCTTATCATTAAACTCTCATGTCAAACTCTTACAAATTTATGATTTTAAGTAGATGAAAAGAATTATCTCGCTGCCTAACTTTTAGAAATAAATCCATATAAACTCACATAAACTCTTGAATCAAGAAACAAAGTCCATAGTGACAGTGTTCTATGGAGGTCATGCATTGTTTTTGAAGCCAACATAAATATAACATTGTCTGCGGGCTCACATGATTTGAATAAATGAACTCTTTTGAAATGTTTTCACTTTATTTAAACACTTATGTTTTTATAAATTTATAGATCATGTGATCATTTATGCAGTTTGATCTTATGTAGTAGTAATTAATATCACATACTATTGTGAGTTGAAATTTGGTATTATTGTATTGTTAAAAGTATGATGTTATGTATGTCATTAATATATATTTTTTTCATTTGTATTAGGTAAACTCTTACAAGTCAAGTCTTTAGAAGCTTTACCAGCTTAAATATACTCTCAAAGTTTAGAGCCGATTTAATTTATAGATCTTCAAATATATATATAGGTTAACCAGACAAAGGGATTTAACAAATTATCTTAACCAAAAACACTACAATCAACAAACGTAAACATCAGAAATAACCATTTTAATAAACAATAAATAATTAGTATATCATATTTCTTTTCTGTCTCTAAATTACAACTTGTGCTCACTTTCTTCCCCTGCTTTTTCACAATAACAGGTTTTACAAACATCGAATGTTATAGTTTAACCACAGAGGTTTGAGCATGCCATTGACTATCTTATGCAGCAAAGTTAATAAATAAAATAAATGTAACATCATTATGAAGTCTGACAACTGACTATCAGATCCTAAGTTTCTACAAATTGGATTGCTACAAGAAATCCAACAATGTATCATTTATGACGGTCACACCTATTACAAAAGGGACCAAAGTACATTATGCTAGACACAACTGAGAAGATCATCTACAAAGAAGAATTAAACGGAAAGAAGGGGAAGAAAAGAAAAGAATGTGAAGTTCCGGCCTCACAAGAGAAGGAGAAGCACAGTGAAGAAAGTAAGCGATCAACTTGATCTTATATCTTCATTATAATTACTTTCAGCACCAGAGAACATGATCAAACATTGTCATTAGCATGTTTTATTGCTGTATTAGAACAAAGACAACAATGGCCACTTTTCATCCCTAATGATGGAAAAGCAGGATGCACACCTTTACCAAGAAATTTAGGAGGATCCATGCTCGACATTTTATCGATTAGTAAATGTAAAAGGTATTTTTCATCCAGAATTACCATAGTCCATGGAAGTCAAATTTATGGCAGTAAATTCGAATGCCGGCAATGAATATAATCACATCCTGTCTTCAACCCTAGCAAGTTCACTAATAGTAGGACCAGGCCCTAAGACATCCACATGCACCCAAATCATAAACCTCAAAGTTTACACACAACATCCACATATCTAAGAAATACCTGTGAGCTCTGCACCTCTGCTTTAAACTTGGACAGATTGGCTTCTTGCATCATCTCAGTCTTAAAACGAAAATTGACCAAAACAGCTAATGTTAATACCAACTGTATCGTTATAAAACTTATAAATGAACACGGGACAATGTGAAGGCGGATAATAAATCCAGAAAACAAAGATTACATTTGGCACCAAAGGATCTTACTTTCTGCATTTCTCCTTTAGCTACTAACGACTGAGACACATTTTCGAGACTGTCATTTAAAACTTCGGTCATGGCAGCGGTTATTGCTTCGGCTTGCTTCGAGGGTACTCCTTCCCCCTCCAGTCTCCTAACCTATACGCAAAAAATCAAACAAACCAAGCCAATAAATACAAGCAAACAATTTGCAACATCGCATCTCACTCAACGTTCAGAATAGCAAATAAAAGCGAAACCCAAACAAGGGAAATAAATGACAGAAAAAGTAAAAAAATAAAATAACATATGTATGGATGTAAATTATTACGAGGGCTAAGGTGTCGACGAGAAACAAGTGTTTTCTGTTGGATTTCACCAATTGAGAAAAATGTCTTGACCCCGAAATAGGAAAAGGATGGAATATTGCTCTTTCGAATGATGACGACACTTTGGATTTGGAAGCCCCAAAAGCTCCGATTCCAGATAACTGCCATACCCGCTTACGAACCGCGGCCATTTTTAACTCCACGAAAAAACCCCAAAACTCGCACAACAATTTTCAGCCTTGGCAGCAAGTTAACTACAAATCGAACAATTAACGAAACCACAGATTTATACCGCACGAAGAGAGCACGAAAGTTTGTAAAAATTCACGTTTCTTGTGTTCTCTCTCTCTTTAATCCTTTTTTCAGTAATCAAATGGGATGGGAATGAAAAAGGGGAAATAGTAATATTAAAAGAAAATGAAAAGGTAAAGATTGATTGGCCTGGGAAAGTGTGAAATGGACGGTTACCTCAACCAATGGCCAATGGGAGGAGGAGAATGAGAGAGAAGCTACTCCACGTCGTTAACCAGTGTTGTTGCTGTGATGAGTCATCAAATCGAAGAAACTAATACTAATGGTGCTCATAAACAAAAGGTGATGCTTTGCTCCTAACAAAGGGAAGCTAAACACGGTGCGAATCTCTCTGGGTTCACCACACCATCCGTTTCTTCAAGTGCAAAAACTGTACGGGTTACGACGGATCACAAATTCACCTTGTGTTTTCGAATATGAATTTTGATTTATCAATTTCTCAAAAATAAAAAAATTGATTGGAATTTCATATTATTAGACTTTTATGTATTGAATTTTAAGTTAATTTTATCTTAATTTTGATTAATCGGTAAAACCTCTTGCCCTTGCTATACTTAAAAAAATAATACAAAGGGCCATCATAACTAGATCTTTGAGGGATTTCATTAAAGGAAACTGCCATCAGAAACACCTTTCATTAAGGAATTTTATTGTATAATAACAAATTTGAAGTTGCGACTTTGGGTAAACTTCTAATTAAACTCTGTTAAGCCGGATCCTAATGGGTTGCTTTTGTTTTTTATTAAATCTTATTTTGCACCTTTTAATTTTTAATTGAAATTTGTTTTGAGACTCTACGCATTTCGTGCCGTTTCATATCGTAACAAACAGCATTGCTCTTAATTTAGTTAGGACCCGAATACGTTGTTGAGTAAAATTAAATGGCAAAAAACCTACATCCAAATTAATAAATATATCAAAATTATTTATAGTAAAAACAACATACACAGAATACTTTGGAATTTTTAAACTAAAAATTAATACATCCTTGTAGTAATACTTATAATCAAATAAATTTCATACATAATTTCTGAATGGTGTTAAACTCTAAAGCGATAAGGTCCAGTAATCACTTCAACTGTGTGCAAGAAGAGCAGCCTCATCAAAGGTTCACTGTATGCAAGAAATGCTGTTATATACAGGATAGTACACATCCAATTGAAGTTGATCTAAGATCTTTGGAGTAGCCCACAGATAAGACGAATGCCCTTCAATGTGATCTGTCACATCGACCTATAAACCAAGAACAAGCGCCCATTCTATTAAAACATAAATATTCATAGTTTATGGATGCGAATTGGAAAAATAGTTGTATGTTAGCAAAGGGATGAAGAAACATCTTACATTTTGGATCCCAAGAATATCGACAGGTTGGATTCCAGCTAATCCTTTCGTAAGTAGACTGCTCAAATTAAAAATAATAATAATAATGCTAAATAATAATTTTTTATTTCTGTCAATTAAAAAAAACTATTTTAAATTAAATCGTTTTACATGTTCCTAAAAAATTGCAAATAATCACAAACTACTAACTACACAGGTCAGCTATACATATAATAAGTAGAAAATTTGTGTGATACGACTTTACACCTTATCTCCAAAACAAACGGCACAACCCACATAATCATGTACTAATGTTAGGTAAGACAAATGCCAACAACCACTCAAGAAAGAGGTGTAATGTGAAAATTGACGACAGGCCACTAAAAAACCATGGGTCCAGATCAATACCTGAAGTGGCGTCAATGAACATAAGAAAAGCAGTTCTCTGCTTATACTAACTTCTACTTTACGTATACAAATACAAACCAAAAAATTGGTCGATAGGCTATGTAGTGTGAAACTTCTGGCATACAAAAACATATATGCAATTTCATGCTATTGGTTGCTTTTATCAAGTTAATCGGTCCTACTGTTAAAGTCGTGCAAGCCAACTTGAAATACATAACTTCTCAGATATTTTACCATTATGTTTTCAGATACCTGGCACGGAAGGCAACTCCAAGCATCCAGTCATTCCTCGAATAAGCATTTACAAATCTTCCTGCTACCATCTACAGAATATCGTGATGTTAGAAAAGATTTATTCTCATAATACAGACGAGAAACTTCTAAGAAAAATTAAATGCCCCACAAACCTTTCTAGCTGCTTCCCAGTTCTCGTCCTTGATTGAGATGGGTGCTCCTAGAAGTACAACTCTTTCTACTAGTTCAGCTGCCAATAAGCAGGGCAAACGATAGAAGTGATAATGTAACCTCATTCAATGGATGAAGATGGTTAGTGTACGAAGGAGAAAATTATATGCATCCATCACTAGAATTAATTTATAAATAAATTAACGAACAGAAAAAACAAAAAAGGATATGATTTAATATGTAGTCAAATTATCTAAACACGTCAAGGATGAACAAAGGAAACGGGAGGAAACTGGAAATACCTACCCCCGTTTTCAGTGTTAGCCAAACACTGTAAGCACTTGAAAATAACTCTTGCCCCAAGTGAGTAACCTATAAGTGTGACGGGCCTGAAATTCAAACATCAATAAGAATGCATCATCTACAATTTTCTTGGAGCTGGAGTAAAAGTAACTCTGGAATTCGTTAAAATACCTATTTCCCTGCAATCCTCTTAACAATACATCAGCAAGCAACTTACCAGCTTTGTTTGATCTGAAAATCAAGACTAACTCAGCATGTAGATCTAAGAGTAATCGAAGAAAGGAAACTGATCATAACAAAAATTTCATTGAGATGGTGAAGTCATCACATTAATCACCTTTTATCAAGAGAGAAAAAAAATAAAATAAATAAAAACACTAGATACTCCTTGACATGCAAAATCCACACCACCATGACATCAGCTTTCAGATTTGTATATTAATACACTTGAATATCAATGATCAATTAAATTGACACTTTCAGAAATAACTTGTACAATTACCAACTTAAAACATAATCAAACTAAACTTGAACATGATGATCAAACAACAATGCAATTCTCAAATAATAATTTTCTAATGTCTTTACTAGTAAAAAAAGTGAGAGGCAACGTCAAATCCCATAGAAGTATGGTTAATATAGATGGGTTGAATTTGGATATCCATTGATTAAATTCACGGACACCTTAGATTTCTTAATAGAAACTTAACAATCTAAGATTCTAAAGTTGGTTAATTTAAATTGAAATTAGAATTTCCTCAGAAATTGACGAGTGAATTCCCTCAGAAATTGAAAGTAATTTAAATTAGTCCCATGCAATTCAAATACCAGGACTCGGTTATTCAAGCCAGAATTCACTAATTCCACAATCCAACAAAAACAGTAGAAACCTTGTACTGAAAATTTGAACACTGCTACTAAATATGTAATATGTTGTTTCAAAAATTCATCTAACAACCTATATAGAATAACACTCTAGGATCAGGAACTACAGTAGTCCAAATAGTACAAGCATTTCATAATTCCTGATATTTTAACCATTTGACACCTTGAATTGCATACATGATATTAAGTAACAAGAAAAGCAATTGTTCTATTCTAGACAGAATCAGGATACAAAATACACCTGTTGATAGCAATTGTCCATTTACTGTCTATAAAATCAGTTGCTGAAAGTAATGCAGCCGGCCAAGCCAAAGCAGCTAAGAGTGAGCTCAAAACAGTCATCATTGCCCCTCGTTTCATCAGCTCCATTGCAAGTCCTGTTGCAAGTCACAGCAATAGAAACATCATTCACAGAAGTACTTATATAATAATAACTTTGTTTTATCAGAACCCTAAAGCCCAAACCCACTTGAAGTAAGCCAGTCTTGAATTGCAGTGCTCACAGCAATCAGATTCTTGGACTCCCACTGCAGCACATACCTAACTTTTGGCAAGATCATATGAAAGGTCATTTTTGTTGACAGGGATCATCACAATCAATCATAAGAATAATAACAGTACAGTTTCAAGATAAACTGAACTAAAATACAAGCTGATTTCAATAGAACAGGTAATTTTCTATCATCATGATACATCGACATCAAGTGTTCCTTCCAAGGTGTTCTTGACCATTTAAGGGCAATATTGTACCTCTCCATGTTGTCATTCCGTCCTTCCCATGGCCTTATAAAATCTTCCTTCTCAAAGATAAATCCAGAGATTAAGATCTCAACCCCTAGCCTCTGCAAGCAGAAGTTCAACCAGAATCTAATTTCAAACAATAACCTGGTACAGATGTATCATTTGAAAACAGGAACATGAAAGATATAAAAACCTACGCCTTGGTTATGGTTTTCTCCAATAGCCTTGAATTCAAACTCATCAACTCCCCCAACTCTTCGAGCCATTTTGCTTCCAGTAAGTCCAGCTCCAGCAGCTAGAAGAAGTAGAACAAAGAGATACATAAAATTTTTCATTGTTTAAAAAAGGAATTTAACCAATGTAAAGAAGTAAAAAGAACTGCAAGACCAAGGAATCAACTTTCATATAGATGCCACTTTTATGACAATAATGTTATTTGTTAACAGATAACAATCAGCGAAGAAATCAAATGTACTGTCATCATGAATCAGGTATATCAGATATTGATAGGACTGCATCACTTCTCCAGATAGTTACAACCTAAATTAAACACAAACACTCATGTAACATTTGTAAAACTCTTCTGAACAATCAAAAGATGAATTCAATAGCTTGTGTGGCAATCTAAGAGGAAGTTATCCTATTCAAGTAGTTACTGTAAGCAAGTAATAATTACAACAAAAGGCTTAAACAACAAACTAAACTTAAAAAGTGATGGAAAGGAAGCTATAGAAACATGACATGAATGGATTCTCTAGCAAATCTAAACACATATTATAGCCAAATATAAACCTCCAAATGATGCAGCAACAGCAACAGAACCAGCAACAGTTCCTGCAGCGCTAGCAGCTGCAGCAAATCCACTTGCTCCAATTACGGGGATCAGAGTACCCAATGTTGGAGCCAAAGCACCTAGACCTGCAGCAATGGCCGGTGCCGCTAACCCTGTTGAAGGGTTAAAATAGAAACAATCACATTTGGTAAAAAGCTGATTCATCTAAAATTCTATATTCCATAATACAGTTACAATAGATAACAAGGTCTCCATACCACCAGTAATAGCCAACAAAGTTCCACCAGTTATTGCAGCAGCACCAATTATACCACCCCGCTTAATCTTAGCCCACTTGCTTTCTTTTGATTGAGTTTCTTCATTTTTTGATTCTTGCGCTTTAATAATAGCCATTGCAGAACAAGCAACCATGGTCTCAATGGCCTCCTACAAAACCAATACTCAAGGTAGTTAAACTCGAGATTTTACTTAGACTCGGAAAGGGGATGCAAGATTGTAAATTGTGAAATTGTAATACAAAACTAAGATCGTAAAATATATATATATATATATATATATATATATATATATATATTACATAAATAAGATATGAAGAAACCATGTAACACACCAAATATTTAATTAAGATTAAATTAATAATCATAGATTAGTAAGCATTCGCTAGGGTTCTATGGGCTCAGGTTTATGAAAGCCCAAAACAAAAAGGAAAAAGAAAGAAACTTGACCCACTGCTGAAATTTGGCAAACTCAGAAAACTTTCTGATTACACCGTTTTAATGATTTTAAACTGCAAGTATACCAATGCTGCTCAGTAGCGCTTCTGAACATGGATGAACTCACTAAAGCATGATAGAAACATAGAATCATGTGACGAGTTGGAATGCGATTTTGACTACATTGCCAATATCCATCTTCATCCTTAAAGAGACAGGAACAGTAAATATGAGAGAATCTAATAAGTGACAATAAGCCTAGTTTATAACAATCAAACATTTACAATCACACGCAACTTGAATGCCAGTAGCTTCGAAATCAAGGCAAATGTTCACCACAATCCAGCATAGTAAGTCAGAAACCATGGCACTCATCTAATGATCTCCGATATATGACAAGGTGTTTACTAATCAAGCAATTATATAAAGTTCCACACTAAAATTTATTAAGCAAACCATTTTTGTCCACTTGACATCAAGCCATGTTGCGAGCAACCTCAGAGCCACACGATGTCGAGCATCATAGCCCTTCCTTCTCCGCCCGATATCTTCACCTAAATTTGACAAACAACCAGACAGGAGTTCATACAGAACTGTCACCTTCCTCTGATCACTCAGCATCATTACTTCCTCAATTGGTCTCTCGTCAATCTTCCAACCAACAGACCCCTGCTGCGGCTCTCTACAGTCAACTAAAGGAGCAATTTCCATTACCTGCAGTTCTTCCAAGTTCTCATCCAACTTTTCACCATGAGGCTGAACTTCATCGATCGAGAACTTCTCACGACATTTATGCTCATAATCGCGAAGCTTCTCCCTTTTAGACTCGGAAAACTCTAAGTTTTGCAGCATGTCACGTGTGATACCATCAACTGCACTTGACAAAGCTAGTTCTTGATCTATCGTTTGAGAAGAGTCATCGTCCAATTCTTGTGAAAGTAACCTCAAGAACTGTAACATTCACATGCACTATTATTCTCTGCTACCAATATTATCAAAATTAAAAAAATAAATAAAAAGCTAGTTATGCACTCTCTAGCAAAAGCTTTCTACTTGTACTGGTAGTTGATATTCGTCAGATATCAGAAAATTGTGCATGTCTCAGTCCTTATTTTATCGGAATCCTACTAATGAATTTATAATTTTCAATAAAGTAGAACCAATAAAAGAAAGTGCCAGTGTTAAAAGAGTATATTAGCAACACTCTTCTATTTGAATAACCGAATCGTAATATTTTTACCAGTGAGGAAAGAATCAGTAGTGAAACGTACCGGTCCCACGTGATGCGTAGCTGAAGAAGAACCAGCGGTTTCCTCTAGTCCAGACCAGGCAGCGGAATCAATTTCAAGAAACCTGTTTAAATTCGGATTCGGATTCAGAAATTAAAAATAACTATCAGGATTTGCCTCGAATTGGAATTAACACGTACTTAAAAACGGGGCGGAGCAAACCCGAACTGTGGTGGACCCAAAGATCCGGGTCCTCGGAAACCGAGTCGCTGCTGGAGCTACTACTGATTCGTCCCTCGCAGTGGGAGTCCTCCAAAACGGGTAACGGTAACGGGTTGGTTTGATTGAGTTGAGCCTCGTGCAGAGCCAGGCCGAACAATGCGCCGGCGGCGTACCTCTGCGTCGGCGACAAAAGCGACGGCGCCGTCGTCGTGGGTGCCGCCATATACGGTGCGATGATTGCGACGATGAGGTGTCGTTTCTTCTTCGGGAGGATTATATCGCAGGGAGATGAATCGACGTCGTTTGGGGAATGAAATTTGGGAACATGTGTGTGTGGTTCGATGGAAACGCGAAGAAGAGGGCTTTAATATGTTTGCATTTTAAAGTTGGGCGTGCGGGGTGACGTGGCGCCCCGGTGCTCTTAGAATTTTTCGGTTTAGATCTTCGGACAAAAGTGCATTCCACTGTGCCGGATAGATATAAATTTATATATATATATATATATATATATATATATATATATATATATATATATATATATATATATATATATATATATATATAAGTAACACTAATTCAAGACACCGCAAAAACATCATTTTTACGCAATGAAATCATGATAAAATTTAATGTTATAACTATGATATATTTTATGGCATTGGAAATTTTCAAGTTGTCAAATAAATTGTGTAATATGTGTATAAATTGTTTATCTACGTCGTGGAAGTTTTTAAACTATCATTTATCTTACCATAGTATTAGTTTTTTGAGGAAAATATTTGATAAAAGTTACATTTATCATCTCCCCATTTAAGTTGTGTATCTTGATTAACATAGATTCAAGATTGATGAGGAGAAAAATAAATGTTTTGATGAAGGTTAGAAAACATTAGTAACTATAAGTTGTTGATTGCATTTAATTTGATGCATGAATGTGTGTATGGCATGCATAAGGATAGATAAGTCTAAAATAATGGTTTTCAAAGCTCTTAAAAAGTAAAACAAGTTTTAACATTGAAGTAACTTTAGAGTTAACCAAATCTCATAGTTTGTTTGAAAAAAAACACAACCAAGGAATGAAATAATAAATCATATTGTCAATGAGTTAGTAAAAACTCGTAAGTATTATTGAATAATTAATTATCTACTTAAAATATTTATTATTTTTATTTTTAAAAGTATTAAAAAATAATGAGGAAATGGAAATAATAATAAAAAAATAAATGATAAATCATATTAAAAAATATATAATGATTATGGATTTTTTTATAATAATAATAAAAAAAAATAAAATGATAAATTTATTTAATAAAAAATAAATAATATTTGAAATAAAAAAATCTAATCATCCTTCTATTTTATTATATTCACTTTTATTTTATTTTTTTAATTCAATATATTTTACAAATTTAAAAAATGCTGAATTATTATGTTTTTTTATTCTCTCAAACAAATCAAATCAATTATAAAACCAATCATGGACAATTATTGCATCCATTCTCTAGAATTTCAATCATGGAGTCCTTTCACCATCTCTTTGACTTCAACAATCTTTTTGATCATGTTGCATATGCATGATAAACCCATTCTCAAACGATTGTTCAATAATTAACAAATTACTATATATCTAACATACACATAATTAATCACTTTAAACATTCTACAATTTTTATATGACTCTTGAAAACTTAATAAATCAAAGTCCATTTTTAATCTTACCAAATCATTGTATAAAAAAAGATTACTAATGTTGTAAAGTGTGTTTAATAATATCACTAACAATGTTCCATACAAATTGACGAAACGATAGCAGGTAACAAATCATTTTTTTTAATTTAAAACAAACAATTCAATTATAAGATATTTTGTATATGTTTTAAAAAAAGACAACATTTAGATGAAATAAATATTTAAATTTATTTTTCTTATTACATTTGGAATTTTACTCTGAAAATTTAAGTTTTAATTATAATAATAATTGACAATTATAAAACATGCATTTGAAAAGAAAAACATAACACTCAAGAGAGTGTTTACTATTGTATTGAATTTGAAGAGCATGCCATTTTATCCAATTATTCCCATTTTCTTAAATGATCATTCGTTCCATTGGTTTAATTAAAACAAAAAAATCAATCTGATATTAAATTGGTTTGTTTGCAATTGTTTTTTACTTTTATTTTTAAAAATATTGAAAAATAGTAAGATGCATAATAATTGTTATAATATAAATAATTCAAAATACCAAAAGATTTCATTTACTGGTCATTATGTGCTTAACAATAATATAACAATTTAAATATACACTTTATAAAAAATATTATACAACTTGATATTATATGCATGCATCATTCAAATAGTTAGTATTGTTTTTTTCTTTTTCATAAATAAATGTCTTATAGATGGACATAAGTTACATGATGATCCTGCAAATATAATATAATAAATAAAAATATAAATACAAGTAAATTAAAACTAAATAAATATATTTTTATTTTGAATAAGATGAGTGAATTCTGATTTTTATCTAAATAAACATTTTTTAACCTTTAAATAAATAATTATCATTTTAATTATAGTATTGTATGATATTAATTAACTCTTTATGTTTATGTGTTGATAATATGTTAAATAACGACGTAGTATTGAAATATTATATTACCTTAAAAATATTCTCTTAAAATATGTAAACTATATGTTATTTATTTTTTTTAAAATAAATATTTAAAAATTGGAAGTATAAAAATTAAACATTCATTTTAGAAAGGTTAAACGAGTTGTTTTAATTTTTATATAAATAAAAAAACGTACATGTCTAGGAATTTCCGAATTCCAATAAAATAAAATAAAAGAGTAATGCGTGTTTTTGTTATTATTATTTTCTTTTTCTTTTTCTTTTTCTTTTTAATTATCATTGAAAATAGGATTGTTCGTAAAATCGGTAGGAACAGGGTTTTGGTGTGCTCCTAAGCCCCTCCTTGTCTTCTCGTTTCTGTGCCCCTCTCTCTCCCTCCCACATCTCAAACCTCAAGCGGCCCATTTCCATCTCAACGCTTTTTGCCCCTTTCCTTTTCTCAGACCTTCTACTGGTTACTCGCGTATCAATTTTTCCTCTCGATTCAATTGTATGTATATGCAATAGTTCTATATATTGTGTCATTAGTTTAATTCCTCTCTTCTGAGTACTATTTAACACTGCTTATTTACTTTTTGAACGGTTCTCGCACCTTATTACAATTGTTGTTGTTGTTCTTATAACTAACTGCGGTTGCACTTGCATAACGGTTTAAATTGAGCTTGAAATTGCCTCCATATTGAAGGTAAATGACTAAATGTGGCCGGGTTGCGATTGTGGAGAACTCTGAGACCATGAGTTGGGTGGTTAGGGGCTGAATCTAAACCTTGGTTGCAATTTAGTATGGTGGTCTGCTCTAGTTGGTGTATGGTGGTAATAGGTGTATATATCTTATCTTTTTGTGGTTGAATACTCGATGTGCTGAACTTGGCCTATGGTACTAGTAAAAATTGATGTATGGAATTGTTACCTTGGTAGTGCTGGAGTTACAACGTGGATAATAAACTGATTAAAGGTGTTTATCCTGAACATCTCGAGCTAAGATTGTTAGTTTATGACAATTAAGATGGTCGGATCTTCTTATCCGGCAAAGGGGATAATGGTTATATATAATGGAGTCAAAACTAACTTTAGGAATCTAAGAATTAAGGGATTAATTGTATTATGATAATAATTAGATTGTATCTTTAATATGCTCGTAATTGTTTTTTATTTTTCTTTTATCCTTTTTTTTTCTTTGAACATTGAAAATATCAAGTTGTAATCTCAATTTCTCACAAAGCATAAACTGGTAGGTCATATTGCCAGCGGATTTTAGTAACAATGACTGCATCTGGGTTGAGTGGTTGTCCCTCAAGATGTCCCCAGCTACCTTTTAGTCCTCTGGGATTACGCCATGTCCGGGCTATGACTTTCTCTGTGGCTAGGAAATCCAAACAAGGAATAGAGTTTCTCCAGGTGGAAAGGTATAAGCTATTAACCATCACCTCCTGAATTTGGAACTTCATTGAAGGTTCACGGCAAGTTAAATGGATAAACAGTTCATTATTTTCCTCACCTTCTCACTTTACAGAACAAGTGTTTTTTCTCCGATATTAAAATGCAATAGACGACAAGTTCAGTTGATCAAAAGTGCCATGGATGCTTCATACGGTGATATGGCTAATGATTCTGCTGGTAACATTTTTTTCATGAAAAAGCTCCATCCTTATATTATATGATACAGAAAATTTCACTGCCAGGGCGTTGATAATGTAAAACTGGTATGTTAGGTACTAGGTAAACGCTACTTTTCCTGAAGTAATAGATTAGTAAAAATAAAACTAAAATTGAAAATGATTTTGTGATCATCGTGGATGTTTGGTCCTCTCCTATGCTAGACTAGGAACTTAAGCAAATTGTTCATAGTGCCTGGGGTGTTTTTTGAGAACTAGAACTGGAATACGATATAAATGGAATGAATCCCTACCATCTGGGGCAGCTAGGTTGACTAACTGTAGGAGATTGAAGAAGAATCTGTTTTTCATCCTTTTGATTTTGAGGGTACTGAACCTTTTTTCTTTTCAGTTCAATAATTGCTTTAACAGTGGTTGATTTTGCCTTGCTGTTTGCTCAGAATGACTACTCCCCTTCTTTTCCACACCCCCACCTTTCTTGTTGACAGTGTGAAATATATTGCATGTCTTGGTGGGTTTCCGTGTAGTGTTATGAATTCTTTTATTAATTATTTTCCACCTAATTCATACGTACATGAATCTCTTACAAAAGAAAAAATCAGGGCTTTAAATAGCATGCTATACTGGTGAAGCAGTTGGGAGAAGCCCCTGCAGAGGGGCCATGACAAAGTGGTTTAGTGTAGCGGTTGTAGTGGCACCGTATTGATTCCAGAAAAGCCCTTTGAATAAAGAAATTAGAACTTTTCGGGGAGGCTAATTTTGAATTTGAATTTCCAAAAATAAAATCTTCAGCTGTAATAGTACTTGGTAGATGCTATATCTTTTTGGGGTCATCTGCTATCCAGGATTTAAAACTATAAAATCAGTTATATATTATTGCGTAGTTTATCATTTTACTGATCCTTTGCTGCAAATGCAGCTGTTTTTCCTAGAATTAATGTGAAGGACCCATATAAACGACTTGGAATAAGCAGGGAAGCTTCTGAAGATGAGATTCAAGGAGCGAGGAACTTCCTGATTCAAAAATATGCAGGACATAAGCCAAGTGTAGATGCTATCGAATCAGCACATGACAAAATAATCATGCAGAAGTTCTATGAACGGAAAAACCCAAAAATTGACATTAAGAAGAAAATGAGGGAAGTTAATCAATCCCGATTTGTTCAAGCTGTCAGAGGCAGATTTCAAACTCCATCCACAAAATTCATTGTTAAAACATCACTAGCATTCTTGGTACTTGGAGTTTTGACTGTCCTCTTTCCAACTGAGGAAGGACCAACACTTCAGGTAGCAATATCTCTGATCGCTACAATGTACTTTATATATGAGCGGCTGAAGAGCAAGATACGAACTTTACTATATGGGTACGTACACAGTGATGTGTCTTGTTCTTTCAAACATGTGTTTCTCTGTTAGCCCATGGTTTGTTATTTTTCATTTAAAAGCATCACATTCCCATGGTGTGACATTGTGATGTTGATATCATTGTGTCCATCTCTATAATTTGATGCATTTTTGTTTTTCTCTTCAGGTTTCTCCTTATATAACATTGTGCTTTGATGCAGGATTGGTGCCTTTGCTTTTTCGTGGCTGTTGGGAACCTTCTTGATGGTATCAGTAATTCCTCCTATTACCATACTTAAGGGACCTAGGGCATTTGAAGTGATCTCGTCATTGATTACATATGTTTTATTATGGGTTTCATCGACCTATCTTAGGTGAAGAGGGTTTTAAAGCAGAAGATCAGTTTTTGCAGTAGAAGTTTACAAAATTTTATGGCTTACCTTATTAGTGTTCAAGTTACATCTTAGGGAAAAAAAAAATGAAATACCATATTTTGTTGAATGAGCAGTGGTTTGTCTTTTTAGATTCAATATTTGAACGAGCAAAGGAAGGAGTTTTTTAGAAGCCAAAATGAGTGTTTTGTTTAGCATGGACTAGGAAGTTTCTAACAATTCAAAAATAAAATTAAGAATCGGTTGAAATTGATTTATATTTTAATTTTTAGATTTTTTGAATTGAAAAATTCAATCCTATCATAAATGTTTGTTACTCGTTTGTTTTCTTTCTCTTTATCTCTACTTTATGTGCCAATATAACCTTTATAACACAAAGCAGTTGAAACTTGATGACATAACAAATCAAATTTTGAAAGAGTCAAGTATAACAAATGAAGTTCGTCCACTTCGCTTCAATGGTATTAGTGACATGAAGCTACATTATCTCCAATCTCCTCTGTGTCTTAATATTGTCTTTTGATGAAGAAGTTAATAAAAAGAATATTAAAAGTCTTGACTAGAAGATTTGATGAAGTCAAAAGACGTTATTAAATAAAAAATGTTGTGTTAATTTATTAGTAGGTCTGCATCTACTTTGAGTAGGTATAATATCTATCTTTTTTTATAACATGAGTTTTTGTTTTTTACAATAGTATAAAGTGCTTTTATTATTTTTAATTTGTTAAAAATGGTTTCTAGTAAATTGGTAAAGAAGCTAATAAGAAGAATCTTGAAAGTCTTGAGTAGAAGATTTAACAAAGTCAAAAGAAGTTATTAAATAAAAGATATTGTGCTAGTACATTACTGAGTTTGCATTTATTTTAAATAAATCGTTTTAATCGATTAATATGTTCTTCGATCTACAGTTTTAATCGATATGTTTTTTAAATAATCACTTAAACAACTTATAAACAATTTTTATCTCTATTTTAATTGATATATTTTTAAAATAGTTGATTAAAAACACTTAAACAACTTCAAAACATTTTTTTTGCAGTTTTAATTGATATATCTTCGAAATAGTCTACTAAAATCACTTAAAAAAATTTAGAAAATCTTCTATCGAATTTTAAATAATAAAAACAAGATTTAATCGATTAAAATTGTAATATAAAAATTATTTTAAGTGTTTTTAATCAATTATTTTAAAGTTATATCGATTAAAAGTTTGGTAGTAAGTTTTTTAAAAACTTCTTAAGTGATTTTAATCGATTATTTCGAAGATATATAAGTTAAAATTCGACAAAAGATTTTCTAAAATTTCTTAATTGATTTTAATCGATTATTTCAAAGATATATTGATTAAAACTGCGACATAAAGTATTTTTAATTTGTTTAAGTAATTTTAATTGATTATTTCAAAAATGTATCAATTAAAATTGCGATAGAAAGTGTTTTCAAGTTGTTTAAGTGATTTTAATCAATTATTTTGAAAACATATAAGTTAAAATTGCAAATCGAAGAACATAATAATCAATTAAAATGATTTTTAATAGATTAAAAATACTTGAGATATTTTATACTCTTGTAAAAGACAGAAACCAATGCTATAGAAAATGATAGATGTTTATACCTACTCAAAGTATATGCAAACTCACTAATGGACTAACATAACATCTTCTATTTAATAACTTCTTTTGATTTCATCAAATATTCTAGTCAAGACTTCTAAGATTCTTCTTATTAGCTTATTCTTACTAGCTTCTTCATCAGTCTTCCCCTATTTGATGAAGACAAAGAGCACCTTGAATCTTGCAAAACCACTTTGATGTGTGTGTTAGACGCAGTTAGTATAAGTGAGCTATTCAATTATTTCTCCGCCTTTTGATTTCATCAAAATAGAGCAAACATGAGTTAAGCCAAAAGGAACATCATACATTTAGTAAAAAGTTCAAAATTCCTGGTCAGAAGTTAGTTTAATATTACAGTCCAACAGACAAATAAACAAACAAACATAAAACACATAAATTTTAAGAAAGCACAGTGATTAAGAAAAACTCCTAGTGTGGAGTAGCAGAATCTTAGTCATCCCATGAACCTTGGTTGAACTGTAAATCATCCAATCTGGTATATATGCCTGTTATTTAATTGCTAAGATTTGAAAACTGATTGTTGGTCTCTTGATAGTATTGAAAGTCATCTACATATGCTTCCTTTGATTTTCCTGTAAAAAGGACATTTGAGACAACATTGACCTTTCAAATTAAGATAACGGAGTCCCCGATCTGGTTGTGCATAGTAGAGAGTCAATTCCATGTTCTGAAACTCCCCAACCATGTGTTCAGCTTTAGCTGCCCCTGGTTATGCTTGTTCTACAACATGAGATGGACCAATGCTAACATTCTCTTGTGGTTCTTCCTCTTCATCATCGTCTTCACTCATCCGACTTCAGATTTGGAAATTCAGTTTCCATTAACTTGAATGAAGCCCATTTTGCATAGAGTGGAGTCGTCTATTTCATTTGAGAATTTTGGGGCCTCCACGTATTCACCTGTCAACTCCATTGCAAAATGCTTAAAAAATTTGTTAATAAGCATGACATAAGGGAGATGAAAATCACTCAATCTTTTAGCTTTGATCATATGATCATTGATTACATAAACCCAGTTGACTCTGATGTTGTTTTGAATATAGTACATCAGGGTAAAATCTGTTGGCAAATTTTGGGTCATGTATATATATGATACATATTTAAATGTGTTAGGGTCATTATTTATTAAGCCAAATAATAAAGTGATCTAACTAAATTAAAGTTTTGGCTAAAGGCATATGTCATGAAAATAAAATTGTGTAGAGACCATAGAACAATTTCTAATTTGATGAGGGGCCAAATTGGAAATACTAAAACTTAAGTAATTAACCTAATTCTGGTTATCTAAAGGGTCATGGTCCCCTTCTGAGAGCACACACACAGAACGTAAGTATCAGTCCCGTTCCTTTCTTTCTATCCCCATCAAGAGAGAAAATCAAGAGGGAAATACAGGTGCTCTTCGGTGGAAGACCATAAGATCAATACAGATGTTATACAAAGACATCATCATTATGGTTAATTCAGGTACGCTTTCGCATTCAGTTTACAGCATGTTTATCAGTATGGGATTATGTTTATGTTTGATCGTTAGAATCAAAATCAGGATTATTATTATTATTATTATTATTATTATTGTTTTTCCAACAATTGGTATCAGAGCCGCCCATATTTGATTCATGTCTGTTTAATTTATAGAACCCTAATTATGAAAATTAGGATTAATTTTGTTTTAAACAATTCAAATTACCCAATTTTATGAACCCTAAGTGGAGGATAATCTCTAATTTTTGTGAACCCTAAAATTTAAATTTGGGGGTAACATCCCCAATCTGATTCTGCTTGCTGATGGAACCGTGGAGGAAGCTATAGATTCTTCTTCTTCTTCGTTTTTCACTTTTGTTTCAGTTTAAGTTTCAAGTTTTACTGAGAAAGAAACAGTGTTTCATATTTCAATTTTTCTTGTATTGGGTTCTCTGTTTTTTTTTTTAATCTTTTATTTTTATTTAATTTTATGGGTTTGGAATTGGGGGTGGTGTTTGTGGAGTTCCCAATACAGAAAATCTTAGGTAAATGATGAATGTTTCCACATGTTTGGCTATTATTATTTTATTGCCTCTATCCCCTAGGAATTTAAGGAAAATTTGATGTTAAATTAGGGTCCGAGTGATTACCTGTTTAATTCCCTTTTAGGGTTTAGAAGCAGTATGCTAAAGAGACTCAGAACTATCTCTCGTTTCATCCCTAGTGTGATTTTAGGAAGATGTTCATCCTTTAGGTATTGGTGGAAAATGAGGCCTTTTTTCATCCTTTGATTTGTTCAGATGAGGTGTTCATCCCTAATGAGATTCTAGGGAGGTGTTCATCCTTAGTAGAATTATAATGAGGTGATTCTCTTTTGAATTAGTTTGCAAATATTAAATATTTGGTTTTGTTATATAAATAAAATATTCAATTTTTGGTAGTTTAATATTTTTTGTGAGCAAATTGAGTCAAGAAGTCACCAAAGTAACTTCTCTTGAATTGGGCAGTTCATGAAAAATATTGAATGTTAGTGTTTGTGTATATTCATGCGAGTATTAGTCGGCCCAAAGGAAGATTAATATTTGGCCGAATTGCATACACACTTGTAATGATAAACATGTGATAATTATAAGGATTTGCTTTGTCGATGATAAATCAATCCAAAGACTGGTTTGTTGTTGGACGTGCTTTATTGTCAATGTTTGATTATTACAACAAGATACCTCTAGCAGTTAATATTATCTGTCCAAAGACTTGATATTGATGGTGCATTGGGTATCTTGAGATTGGTTAAACCACTATTTGAATATATATTATTTATTTTTTATATAATGTGAGCATAATTAGTTTAATTGGACTCCCGAACAGTAAGTGGTTATATTATTGGTTATGCTGAAAGATCCAGGGGATATAAATATTATGATCCCACATTAAAGACAATTTTTTGAGACGGGAACTGCTACGTTTTTTGAGGATATTGAGTTTGGGGGGAAGAATAAAATCAGGAACTTTGTCTTAGAGGAAGAATCGGTAACAATTCCAGAACCGATTCAAACAGTTACTTTTGATAAAGTAAGTTCGGAACTTCCACAATGCATTGTTAATGAACCCCTTACTCAAGATGATTTGGTTGTTCATGAAGAACAAACTCAAGATCCTCAAGAACCTGTGCATCATGAACTAATAACTTTGCAGAGATCCACTAGAGAAAGAAGAAGTGCTATTTCGGATGATTACATGGTATTTCTTCAGGAACATGAGGAAAATAATGATATAATGGAAGATGAACCAGTTAACTTCCGTCAAGCTATACAAGGTTCTAACTCTCAAAAGTGGATTGAAGCAATAGGATAAGTATAAGTCCATGCAAGACAATAAGGTTTGGGAACTTG